TTACCAACAGAACATCTATCTCGTGACTCGTCCGGTACTTTGTTAAGAAAAATATTCGAACATTTCTTGACAACTTAATATGTGAAAATTGACACGAGAGCGATCCACAAGTGCTCATCACCTTCCGTGTCCTCTCATTTAGTACTTCTGTATTGTTGATAAGATCGCCGATAGCTTCTTATTTGCGCAATTTTGCCATTTGTCAGGCAACTCATTAACGGCCAGAAAATCAATTCTTGAACCAGAATTGTAGGGTTTATGACTTGTACGTGATGTACTCTCTTGCTGTCACCTTCATAAATGTGAATACGACGTTCACTCAATCGCTTTAAGTGCTTTGTTTTTCGCTCAACACTTCATCTTTTGCTAGTGTAGTGTCTTGATCGAAGGCGCTCGCTTCTGCACCAGTCTCCTTATTTTTTATAACTCTGCCAGATCAGGTTTTTACCTTGCTCTTGGCCACAAGAGCAGTCTTTTCTGGCGCCTGGCTACCCTGCATCCAGTGGACTTATCACTTGAATGCGAGGGGCAAGAGCACGATTGACTCTAATTCACCTCATCTTCAGCAGATTTATATGACCAAGTCACATTTTGTGCTGCCAAGCGACCCAGGTCCCTGATAGTTTGCTTTCCGACGGTATTTTTCTTTTTTTCTAGTCAATGCTCGGTTGGTACCTTCATAATCAGGGCATCCCTAGAATCCGATCGAACTTGTCATCGAAGTCGACTAGAATAAAGGCGTCTTCGCATCGCAAATCATCACATTCGATTGCCATACGCTGCACGCATCAGGCATCGTCACTTTCGATCCATTCTCCAAGCGAACGATCATCATTTTTTCGAGCTAGGAGTTCCAAACCTAGTCTTCTCATCACTTGCGTACGGACAAGAAGTGCTCGACCGAGAGGGGAGTACAAGAGTCTGTATAAGTTCTAAGTAGCCGTCTACTATAACCTAATGAACTACTTTAGCCGATGCTTGCTCGACACATCCACATCTGTTTGTTAGACACATCGGAGCAAGAGCGCTGCTCTTTCAAGACATTTAAACGACTCTTCAATTGCCCCGTAGGAATCCCGCCCCACTGTCCGTTATTTGGTACGCTTGGACTGTAAGTCATTGCTTAATCGATTCAATCGCCAATCATATGTCGCTTGTTGGCTTAACAGAGACACATTTCGATTCCTCGCGATGTAACCGAGCATGCCGCGACCAAAGCATTCTACGTCAGTGCGCGGCTATCCCATTAGCGGGCGAAATATCCATCGGTTTCGGTCGACAATACGGTATTGCTTTTTGTCGTATTGGACGAACGATCCAGCCGGCAAAACTTGGCCTGCTTCAGACTAAATTTTCTATTTATCGTATATTTGGTAGATTCGTCCAGCGCTAACGAATAATAGCGGTATAGCTGGTTCCAAATTGGACCGTTTTAATCCCTGCCAAAGATAACTTGAGTGAGACTTCAATTGGCTTGTTCGCGATATTCGAAATCAGGTATCGCACTTGTTGTGCGTACATACGAGAACATGTTTTAACTACCCTGACGAAGCTTAAGAAATTGAGCTCGAGCTCAAAATTCCTTCTGCGGAGGTTCCAAATCCTTGTTCAGCTCTTGCTTGACGTCGTTCTAATCTAAGAAGCAAATCGGCTCAACCGAACGCGTTCCATATGTCTAACGTTTGTTTGACCCTCAAAATAAGACTTGCTGCACTGGGCCCACAAGCTGCCTCGCAGCAATTGCTACATCAAACCCTACGAACCTTTTTGCCATATGATTACTCTTTCCTCCTCTAAGCGAAGCTTCACCGAGCTTTAGATTCGCGCTTGTCGTGACAGGATTTAAGGGCTGTCGGCAAAATTCATGATCTCGTGATACACGAAGCTCGTAGCCGCATTATGATGCTCATCCGGTGACTGATATCGGTGAGGTGATCACAGCCACCTTGCCGATGATTTCTCGTATTCTTTTGAGGGCTGCTTACTCATGTTGTGCCAATTTGCGATATTACTCATGCATCAATTTCATAGTCCCTCCTGTCAATGGACACATTGGTGTCTCCATCCCTAACACTGTTTCTCACAGTCGGACAGTGTTTTGGGATGTTCGCTCAAGCGGACAATGCAGAACATGGACTTGGTCGTTGGGAAGACTATACAGTGCTGCCAGTTGAAAAGGCTATACAACACAGTCACAAATACGGCACGGGCGCCTGCGTTTGAAAGGAAGACTTGATGGGAATGCGTAGAAATTGCTACTGCATTAAGAAGAGATTATGTTTCCTGAGCTACAGCTCCTAAACATGCGGAAGTAAAATCTATAAACTTTTATCACTAAATATCGGATATTCCGAGGTTGAATCCAGGGGGGGTGAGAAACTTGAGCCTGCAGTATTCCTGGAAAATTCCCCGCAAAGTAACTTGCTCGCGCCACTCACTCCAGATGATAAAGTCATGTCAGCATCATCATCACTGCAGATTTCCAAGTACGAATCAACATTATATACATATTGGCGCATGGATACCATAACTCTGTATCTGATTAATACATAAATGACAGTTGGCGCATATCCTCTATCTCCACTCCTCAGGATAAATAACCGATTTTCACAGCCAATCTCGCTTCCTACTAACGAGTGTAACTCGGCCTCGTTTTGAAATCGAAACTGATGGCTAACTGCAAAAGCAGAGCAGCTTACATCTAGAACTAAAAGTGATGAGCGTCCGCATCGACGCCGTTATAATTTATTATACTCTGCAAAGTAAAGCGATAAACGACATTCTAAACGGTCGTCTAGTTCACTGGCTGGCTTTTGAAGCTGAAAGCCAAATGTAGCGGCGTACCAACTTAGCTGTGTGTACTAGTTGAGTCATATAATCTTCAGTACATTTGGCAGAGTTTAGTATCAGAAGAATGGATTCTGGGGAGTTCCAACCACTATTGCTCTGGATACAGACAATTCTTCTAATAAATGGTGACCTGGGCGTTCTGAGAGCTTTTTGTAAGCGTGTTTCGAGGACTGCTTTTGTTCTTGGCTCGAGCGGTCAATCGCATGTCCTGCACACAAGCTATCGCAGCTTCTACGCCGCGCCAAAATTGCTTTTGTATTTTGTTAAGACTTGGTTCATTATCACGAATGCTCTATCATGAGATTTGCACGGTATCTATCTTTCTTGCTTTTTAGTCGAACCAAGGCTGATGACGTTCCCGCCAACCTATGCCTAGAATGGGATCGTATCTGGAGTCTAGGTACACGACTGGAAAATGTTTACGCTGTCAAAATGGTAACTGGGATGTTCAACAGAATTTTTGGCACTTTTACGTGTGTCCCAGTCGTTAGACGCACGGATATCACATCTGATATTGCATCTTCATATCAAATTGCGTCCTGGCAACTGTCATCGACATTCAGGCGTCCGGCGTAAGGAAAGGATGCTCCTGAATTGATAGGACTTCACGAGCTTCACAGAATTCCGGACGCAGATATCAGCAAACAACGGCACTAAGCAGTAAGCTTACGTCATTAAGAAGGGTCGCTGTTTTTACGCCGGATCCCATCAATCACGACCTCCAAAAACTGCTATAGAACCCACTTTAGCTCAGTTTACTGAAACGTCAAAATTCTCCATGAAGGCCTTTGCGTGAGAGCCTGACCCTTTGTACCTCTCAGCTGAAAGCGAAGGGGGGGCACGCGAGGTGTAAGTGTTTTGCTCTACCTCAGCTGGAACACCTGCGGGTACCGTGGGGCTGCTCTGAAGTCAACATATATCTCAAAATGGCTGAGGTTCATTACCTCTTGCGCATTCATCAACCGCCCGGTGTCGATACACCATTTCACCCACGCAACACTATGTAGTACTCGCATCAATGCGACACATATCGCTTTTTATTAAAAAAATTGGGTTGAACACGGAAGACCTCTATGCGAGCTGCGCGTATTCAAAGACCCTTCATGTAGATGGTGACTGCTTTCGCCTCAGACAGAGGGTCTGTGCTGCTGCAGCGATAAAAGTTATCAAGTACAAAAAATCGATCATTGGCTCTCGGCTCCTTTGATGGTTTGGATGAAAACTTTGAGCTCTCCATCCCTAACGATTAGGCTCTGCGAACACTCGCGACATCTGTTGATTTAGATTTTACCGAGCTGAGAGCTACTCTTTCAGAGTGGTGCTGCACGGTAGCAGCATCATTCTCAATCGTTACCTCCTTGCTTGGCGGCCGAAAGCACGATGCGCTGTTACTCCTTTAAAATCATTGTTAAGATTTTTCCTCCCCATCCAGTTGGGATGACTCTCTCCTTCCCAGTCCTTTCAAGACCCTTACGCTCAGCATGAGTGATGTCACGATGAGTGCCATCTGTTTCCGTATTGAATCTGTCGCCACGCCAGCGCTCTTTATAAGCTGGTGATCGCTTCGAGGTGGTCGATTATCGTCTCCTTTTTTGGTTGCCAATCTCCTGATCCTGTCGTGAGCAGCGATAGATATAAGCTTGCTTATCTAGTCGTCCGTGAAACAAATACTCAAAAATCAAATGATCAGTCTTCGCAAAGGATACATAATTTTACAACCCGGTCGTGGGATTGATTGAAAGTGCTACGTACTGCAACGGGGGTTTCTGTGTAATTTCGCACACATGAAGATCTGACTCCTAGACTTCTCATTAGCAACGCACAGAGGTTGGTTCGTGTACTTCTCAAAGGAGCGGAATCGAGAGCCACTCAAGTAAGTAACATGATTAGTTTGCTAATCCAAGAATTGATTCTGTTTAGACTGATACTATATGTGCGCTATGTCAACCTCTCCATCATCTACATAATTACACAAAATTTACAGAATTGTACATTAAATGTACAATTCTGTAAATTTTTGTGCTATTATATATAAAATGTTAGACAAATAATTGCTACAGACGCAGTCCTCTAAAGTTTATTAGAAGCCACAAAAACTTCCAAAATTATTATTATACGCAGGTGTAGTAGAACAAAGCAGCATCACGAAAATGACATCACTAGTTTCTTCCGATGTCGCCAAGCCGCTGGCTGGCTTGTCGCGCGAAAAGATGATGCAGTTTAAAGAAAAGACTGAGCGACGCGGTGTAGTGTATATTGCTCGAGTCCCGCCGTTCATGAAGCCGGAGAAACTGCGTCATCTCTTGGGCAAGTATGGTGAGCTAAATCGCATCTATCTGGTGCCGGAAGACAAGGTTTTGCACAAAAAACGTGTTAGCGCAGGAGGAAATCGACGGATGAAGTATACAGAAGGATGGATTGAGTTTGAAGATAAGAAGGTGGCAAAGCGTGTGGCCAAGATGCTAAATACGACACAAATTGGTGGCCGGAAACGCGATTACTACCACGACGATATGTGGAATCTTAAGTACCTTAAAGGCTTTAAATGGGACCATTTGACTGAAAAAATTGCGTACGAAAATCGAATTCGCGACCAAAAGTTACGCATGGAGATCGCACAGGCCAAGAAAGAAAATGAGGTATACTTAGAGCGTGTTGAGCAGTCCAAACAGTTGGAAAAGATGGAGGAGCGAAAGTCCGAAAAGAATCGCGATCAAAATGCAACAAATGACGCAATGCAACAGGTGCGTCGTACATTCCATCAAAAAGCTCCTACCAGCAGCAAGCAAAAGCAGTCACTTGGAGATGATGATTTAGAGAAGGTCTTTGATGCTAGCAGAAAGAACAAGAAATGCCGTGTAGCTTAGAGCAAAGATTTGGGATTATGTAAAATTCGGTTGCAGAATGGCTTTAGCATTCAAAGTTCGTCCTTAATTTCTACAACATCGCTGATCTCATCCTTTGCCATTTCCTTGGTTTCAGCGATCGTAGTCGTCATTGATGCAGTAATCTTCTCTTCATCAAATGGAACGGTGATTGTCTGCGTCTTTGGTCCATCGGCATCAATCACGTACTCCATTATAATCTCGTCTCCGTCCTTAATTACCCACTTATGATCCACATTTGAATTGTACGCTGCTCTACCGCTGTTGGCTTCGAGTGTGCTCATAAGGGCGTCATTCCAGTACAGTCGAACTTCACGCGGTGACGGATTTGTCACAATGAATTTAACCGAATTCTCGGCATTAGTAAGACCATACCGTTCCTTATTCCAAACCCAAAGATTAGCCCCCCACTTTGTCCCCTTAAGAACGGGGCACCCACCGTGCTTCGACATCGGATCAAGTTCGCCATTCGGTTTCTGACTGTAAAATAGCACTGCACCACCTTTTGAAGGATATGAAGCTAGCTTTGTCGAGCATTTTCGTACCATATCCATTTCCCAACTATCGGGTTCAAAAAGTTCTGCTCCGGCGGCCTCAAATTCGTGAGCCACATTCGCGGGATGTTGGTATTCAACTGGTATGTCATTTGGCATGTCTGCCAGCGGAAATACAGTTTGGCCACCAAGTGGAACGTCCGATAGATACAAAAAGACAGTCGCAAAGCGATTTGAACCTCCTGTACGTGGATCATAATTAAATTTTTCTGACGAGTTGAGGGGAAAATAATCCTCGTGGGGAATGTTTGCCTGTTTTTGCTGGTACCGCAACAACTGAAGCCCGTCACACATATCACTTTGATATTCACCCAATGACAACACGTCAAAGACGCGCTTTCGGATACGAATTGCAGTGTCGGATACTGTGTCAAAGGCATTTTCACTTGTACGATGCTTGGACTTTACTTTCTTGCTACCACTTGGACCGACAGTCGACTGCTGAAGCTTATTGCCCGGATCATCAATCTCCAGTGTGCGTTTAATCAATGTGTCTGCTTCTTCTCCCGTGAAGAAATTATGTAGACGAAAAGTTCTAGGGGATTCGGAAATAGACTCAATGATCACTGGCTCATTTGTGAGACTAAAGTTCGATGTGACCATCACACGATGTCCAAGCTTGACAAAAGGCCAAACAAAGTGCAGTCCTGGAGCAACAAGGTAAAGACGATCACCCATTGATATGTCACTGTAGCTTTGAATTAACTGTCCTTGGCCATTATACACGCGATTTGCCACAATACCGGACATGGCGGGCTCCTTTTCGTCTATAATCTTTGATTCTTGAGAAATAGACTCGTTATAAAGTCCTTCCACAGCCACAAATTGCGACAAATACGCCGCCAGCTCTCCCTCTCCATTGCGAGAGGCTAAAAGATCTGCTCTCAGTTGTATCTGCACGCCACCGGTCGAGTATCCATTGCGATAAACAGTGACATTCTTATAAGGTAAATGGTAATCCATACCCAGTAAACGATGCTCGTATGTTAATTGAAGCGTTTCACGAAGGCCTTGAAGCTCAGTCCTGAATGTGTAGCCAAGCATCAGAACCGAAAGCAGTAGTAGCAAACCACCTACACGTATAATTGTTCCCATTCTCGAGTCTTTCAATTAGATGACGTATGTACGTGTCAATTCCACGACTACATGACTTGCAGCTTTAGAGATTAAATTCTGGGATTATAAATATATTCTTCATATTAGCCAATTATTGTGTCAAAATCAATTTTATAACACTATAATAATAGGTAATAGAAAAAAAATAGTATGAGGAAAATGATTACGTTAAAAAAGATGACTTTTAACAAGTTTGCGGTACTTCTGGTAGGCGACGCCAACACCAATTGCGATGCTTACGAGCATAATGAAGAATGGCAAGCGCCAACTGGAGCTCGCTACCAAGAGTTCACCTTCAATCTCCGCAGCAATTTGATTGTTGACATTGGAACGCACATCCGCCATCTTTTGGCCAATTTTGTTCTCCATCATGGTTGTCATACGGTCTGTCAGTTGCTGAATTTTTTTATGATTCAAACGCTCCTTTTCCTTAAGCTTGTTAATTGTATTTTCCGTCTGCTCACGTAGCATCTCAAGCCAATGTTCCGTCTCGATCTGAAAGTTCGACACAAACTTTTCCAGAATTGTCACCTTGCACGATTGATCACACATATGATCATCGTCTAAAAGGGTCATAAAGTTTTTGGAATAGTTGTGCATCTCTGTATCCCTATCGGCAAACTCCAACCCGTCATCGTCGACGCTATCGAATGACTGCACTTGCAAAATATCGTGATTGTCAGCCAAAGCACCCGTGGAAGCCGAGATTCCAAATGTTGCGTGGTTAAGCCAGTCGCTTTGAAACGGGAGATTGCCCTTGTAGCAATCATTCCACGTAGATGTGTTGTTTAAATCCATTTGAACCTCCAATGCGTTCCCCTTAATCATTATACGAATGCGCGACGAGCTGAAGACTGGATCAAATGTAGCACTAGAGGAATGGTAGCGGAAGGCAGCATCGCAGCCAATTTTATCCTCATCGTTGTGATCGTCTATGCGCTTTGTACCGTCGTTAATTTGGATTGTTACATCCTTGTGACCACCGCGATGTTCAACATTATGGAATGTGTCAAGCACAATACCAAATCCCGTGTATGCATCAGTAAAGCCATGGTTTTCGCCGTTTTTCCACTGAGGTTCGAGCGTAAACCAGAGGCCAATACCATCGCCAAACCACTTTTTACCTTGTCCATGGATACGATAAGTAACAACAGTCGAAAATTCATTTCGATTGATCATGCTCTTGCTCCAAATGTGTCCACGCTTGCTCTGTCGATCAGGCGTAAGGCGAATAAAATTCTTCATAACCTCTGTTGTGCCACCAACTACAAAATTATCCGAGATCTGACGATCACCTTTCGAATCCACTATTTCGTATGGCTGCTTAAAGCTCAGCGTGTCCAGCCGCATAGCCGACACAGCAGCCAGCGAGCATAAAACCACAGAGAATTGCAGTGACGCAATTCGGCAAAACATCGAGAGGTTACTAGTAAGAGTACAATACCTTAATGACTACATGACACGTGGGCATTTTGAAATAATAGGTAGACCACATCGACAAGGTGGACCACATCAAATAAAATGAACTAACGTAAAAACGTATGCTGTTTTAAACCGATCTTACCAGACGTATCTACAACAAATGCGATTTCATAAGCAGTTGATACTTGCGGTACACGTATGCAGCACCTGCCATCAAGATAATGAATAGCAATGCAAACGGTGTCTTCCAGCCGCCGCTGGCAATATCAGGATTCTCCTCAAGCTGCTTGGTGATCTTTTCATTCAATTCAGTGCCCAACACTTTCTTCGTGTTCTCAAGTGACATATCAATACCCTTTCTGACCTTAGCATCGATCTCACGCACTCGACGCTCATTCTCACTCTCTTGCTTCTTGAGTTTCGCTACTGTGTTTTCCGTCTTTTCTTTTAAATCTGCAAAACGATGCTCGGCTTCAACGCGAAAGTTTTGTAGCTCTTTCTTCAACACTGCAATCAGGCAGTCCGTGCCACAGTTTGGCGAATCAATCCATTTTTTGTACTCTTGAGACACTGAATTCATCACCGTTTCCGAGTCCACAGCACCAATAGTCGTGTCGGTAAAGTCCGTAAATGCGTCGAATCGAATAATATCGTGGTTGTCGGCCAGTGCACCGGTAGCAGCTGTGACACCGATAGTAGATGTTTGTAGCCAATCTCCATTAAATGGCAACGTCATCTCGTGGCAGGCGACCCATTGACCTGTCGATTCCTCATCCACCTCCACAACCAATCGTGACTTGTCAATCTTGACTTTGATACGCGAGATGCTGAAAGCAGGACCAAAGTTTGCGCTTTTCTCGTTATGGCGTACATTTGCATTACATCCAGCGCGCTTTTCCTCTTGCATTTGATCAAATGTCTTGGTCCCGTCATTCACAAACACGCTGATGTCTTTGTGGCCTCCCTTATGATCTGGGTTATTAAATGTGTCAATAACGACACCCACGCCCTTGTATTTATCAGTAAATCCATGATTGATACCGGCTACAAACACCTTCTGATCGGTGAACCACAAACCAATGCCGTCGCCAAACCATCGCAAACCCTGACCAGATATGCGAAATGTCATGATAACAGATAACTCATCGCGTCCAACAGGTTCTTTCTGCCACAGGTAGCCACGCTTACTCTGGCGGTCGGTAGTAAGACGAATAAAGTGTTTTTTTATGTCCGCGTGACCGCCATGTGACCACGTGGTGTTGACAATACGCTGACCTTCCGAGTCTACGACCTCAAATGGTGGCTTAAACGATACATCATCAATTTTCACAGCAGCAATTCCTTGAAAATTGGCGATGAATGCACACAGCAGTAGCATCGAGAGGTTGTAGACACTCATGGCCTCGGACAAGAATATCAAAGAGTAGTTATTTTGGGGCCACGTAGCTACTTGACGTAACCTGCTAAAACAGATCAAATAACATTTAAAAAAATTATTTAAATATGTAACAAAATATTGCATAAAAGTACAGACAAACTTAAAAAAAACAAGGCAAACAGGACCAATACGCATGTACTCATTCAAACCTATTTTTATGGCATAATGCTGTGTTGTAAAATAGATTCACCAGCTCTCGTTGTGGCGTACAATACTATATAGAAGCAGACGGGTAAGTATTATAGTGAGCTATAGACAACTTGGAGCACTATAGGCTTGTGGAAGGACGCACGTCAGTCACAAGGCTCACGTTGAAGTCCAGAAGTCTGAGATGAAGATGTAGATTGTTGCTTAGTCCGTGACAACTACAGCGGCAAATATACCTTTAACTTGAAAATATAGCAATAGTGAATACATCATACCGCCAAGGGACACAAAAAGACGCTCGTCACATTTCTGCAAGCGATATGGCTATGCAGTCAAACACAAGCACCCCCTTCCGATAGTAGATAGCACGCTAGAAGTCCTGTCATTTACGGCTGTAACTGTCATAGATTTTTGTGTGTAAAATATAGACCTGCTTCAATTGCTGCATGACCCATCTCTCGATCTTGTCGGTGTAGATGCACCATGTATGTGTTTGCTGTCCAAATAAAAAGCTTGATGGATCCGCCAGTATCGACAGAATCGGGTCCAGCTCAAAGATGAGCTGCACGAAGTGCAGAAATTCATGCTGCGAACGTAGGATTAATACTTACACATTATCCTAGAAACAATAATATGCAGTGAGGAGATCAATATACGAAAATGCGCAATAAAGACAGCACTTGGCGAACGAAGTGCTCGAAGAGTTTTTGATGATTCAAATATCTTACTCTATAGTACGAAGCTAAAGAGCACAGATACCTTACATTTCCTTTTCACGCACACGATAGTATTTGCAGAACAGGCGTGAACATTAAAAACGCGAAACTGCTCTGTGCTCGCTTGAATCACTTCGTCCGCGTATGACTGACTACCTAATCAATTCGATAGAATAAACGCTAAGTCACCCTATGGCAGAAACCACAAATCTTCAAAAGTCAGGACTGCATCATAGTAGCCGTGTACTTCACACCGAGAAGCGTTGCCGAGGCAGCAAATGAACAGCAGAATGGATTCATGTACTTCATTAATAGTGAGATAAAGAGTATTTCAGAAACTAGATACTTCGTGTGCTATTTTGTTCACTGGGTGGTCATATCTAACAAACGTTATTAGGTTGGCCAACACTAAATTAAGCTATTTACTATGCACAGTAATATACCCTTTAGCAAAGCTAGCGGTTCAATTGTCGCACAGCCTCCTTTCGAGAGTACCCCGCCATCACCATAACCCTTCCTTGAGTATTTTAGATTTGGCTCTAAGTCCGATTGGGAAACCATACGGTGTTTGTAGCCAATGTTGAATACGTACCTCTTTTCGATGACAATGAACACCATACCCATTTTGACATTCTGAAGACATTGTGCAACCGTTGGCGCCCCATAATCGCAGCTGTATTAGGTCTTCTTTCAGCATAACATCTTGTTACTACTAGCGCAGTTTGCATTCAGGACCCCTACCCTAGCTCACTCGCATGGCTCATTCTTCCACTAAAACAGGTACAACTTGCGGCCGACGTCTTTCTAATGAGACCCGGTGAGGCAGACGAGGTGCTCACCGATCAGATCGGTCATGGTGTCCCGACCCGGTTTTGTGCTTTCATCCGGCGGCTCACGGCACAGCTACCAACGGTTTAGGCGCTTATTACCCCACTGCGTAAGTTGTGCACTCGTCGCACCTAGCCCGCGGTAAAAAGCTATACGACCGTCCGCTGTGAAACTTACGATGGCGCTCAGGTTGTTGCAATACGTTTGTTTATCTGCAAACGCAAGAGTGCCACCAACTTTTTCAGACTTAATGTCGCTGTGTTGGTGGTTTTAAGCAAGCTGAAAGTGTTCTCGTGCTCAAAGCAAAGCAAAATAGCACCCAGAAATTGCATTCTGAGCCCTCGTGGCACCGCTTCTCAGGTTTACCGCCTATCGCTAAAGCGGTGGGGGTCGGATAGATCCGTACCTCCCATTAGGGATGTAGTTGTATCACTGCTTTCATTATTGCCGAAGGTTACCGTTCGCGCACCGAGCGAGAAGGGAAGTCGCTTCGTTCTCCATATAATTTCATGAGGTGGCGTCAGTGAAGCAGACGCTGGGCTGGGACGTTGACTAATACACAACTTCGCACATTTTACAGTACGACGTCAGTCTCGAGATGGATGCTTACTACCACAAGCTCTTCCTGTCAACTGCTTTGCTTGTCTCCTTTACCCTGGAAGTACATCTGCTAACTCGTTTTAAGCGTGGAAGTACCGCAACCATTTTAACACAACATTTATGAACCCGTTGGCCCACATCCGCTCCACAAGAGAGTGAGCCACCCATTGCTCATCGAGGAGTGCCGACAAAAACAGAGCCTTCTGGAGATAAAGTTGGCTTCGTAATCAATATACCGCTGACTGCATCAGATGAGAATACAGAGGGTAAGGCTTGGCGCGAGCAGCACCACTTCGAAGACCTAGGCGTACAGTTTGTGATAGAAAAATATCTTCAACCAATAAAGTAGAGGATGATTATCGCAATACGTCCAAGAATTAAAAACTTTGATTGCCATAACGATTTCAGACATTTTTCGGTAGTAGGTAACAAGCACCATCGTTATGGAGGGATATCCACGACAGCTGCCGCTTTAATAGCTTCCAAAAATATCTTTCTACAGAACCACTGCATGTAAATACTTACTCTCGTGGGCGAGCCCCCAGTGCGGCACGCAAATGATCAATCGGGAGAATGCGAAATCATAGCTTTTTCAACTACCAACTGCGAACTTCTTTGGAGCAACCGATAGACGAGAGCGTATTTTGGCGTATCTAGCTTTTGAAAATAGTTGAATAGTCAATCTCCTTGTGTGCCACTTTGACAGACGATGCAGTCATTTATCAACTTGGTCGTCCATTTAATGACAAGTGCTATTTATTACAACGAGTTTGTCGCGCACCTTGCTTTGTGGAAGTTTTGACTCAACGAATCTGCGTCAACAAGCGCACAGAGAATGGTTTGGACACAAGAGTATTCCGAGCGTCGTTCATGAAACAAGTTTTAATGTCGCTTTGAAGTTGTTCTGCTTATCCCCAGGAATCTGCTGATGTAGTTATCTTCCAAGTATCAGATTTGGAAAAAAGATAGCTTCCGCTCGCTTTAGTAGTTCTGCTTATCTTCATGAACCTGCTGATGAAGCTACGGACCAAGCTCTAGAGGTTAGACTTCACTCGCTCGTGAGAAGCACTATGTGTTCTGGTAAGTAAAGAGAAAAGATGCGTCAAGTTCATCCATTACAGCGGCACGAAGCCAACATTTGACCTCAAACGAAATAAGCTTTCAAAACGGGATCCTTCACCAGACACCCGTCCAACTATGATCTACTCCACATGAAGGAAGTAGATTGGCCGCGAACGACTCTTCAGTGAGTCGGTTTTTTGCGAGCTCTTTCATTCGTAGCGGTACGTCAACAGTTTCCGAGAGTCTCGATGTGCGGCCGATTATGAAATAGGCTATATTTATGCGCTCTTTGAATACCGCACTTGAAATGATTGACTTGGCCGACCTTAACCAATTTGGAACCGGATTGCCGCTCCAAAAGGTAGGTAGCGGGAATGTTTGGACGTTTTTGTTTTCAGCACTCGAATGGTTTGTGATAGCGAGCTCGTGGTATGGCTTTCCCGATCTTACGTATGACGCAAAATGTTTTTGCTTTCTAGCCGATCATTCAGAGTATCGCTACATCTCGTTTTCACTATAACCGAATTTTTTTATGTCCCAAGGTCACAACTAAGTCGTATAGAATGTGGACAAGAAGAGGAAAGGTAGAAGCGTTTAATTGTCTAACATTCAAGCATTCAATATCTGTTTGGTCTACCGTTCACCAGCACCTTTCATAAATAAGATATTTGCTACACTAATTTTTCAAAAACACTTGAGAAAATGTGGGTTCAAATTTTTTGTACAAAGCCTAAATATAGACATGTTGCTTTTGCTCTACCTCATCGAAAAATGATGCTCAATCCTGTCGGTGAAGTCTGTCATCTTGCTTCGAGGTATATAGTAAAACTTGATTTGTATCGAGGACCCCTCCATCACCACGACCAGGGAAATTTCAGTACAGTATCTACAAACATGGGGGCTTGCCATACCGTTAGTTACAAGTTAAGTTAGGTCAAGTCTTTACAAACCATAAATGCTTTATCGAATGCGAATGCAATGAGCAAAAACAAAATTCTATAGCATTGCAGTCTCTCCGCGCAAGTACTTTAGAGGATATTCTTTGCCACTACACCAATGGATTTTGATAAACCATCCATCTGAGGTGATTTTGTGGCTGACATGTCCAACGTGGTGCCAAGATTTTAACAGACATCATCAGCGAATCTCTGCAGAGGGCATATCTCGAACAGGGACGATACTCTTAGCAATCCACCTTGGCGAGAAGCTTTATGGAATAACTTGAGGAATTCATACCGGTCAAGATGAGCCATCTTACTCAAACGGTCCACCGATACGGAATTTTGGCACTAATGGACGCATCGTCGGAAAGATAAAAGAATATTTTTCGAACCAACGCTCGTAACCGGCATGCTGACAAAAGACGTCGACGCACACGGTGACGCTTTTACTCGAGCTCTTACCCATTTATACATTTTAAGCTAACCGAACATCGCACTCACTGCGTCGTATGTCTTCCTGTCTTATTTTCGCCAAGGTAGACGCCCAAGTGAGTAATAGGGCAACATACACTTATCTGTATTTGAGGTTTTTATCATGAATTTCCATTTCAAGCTGATTATCAAACAATGCAAACTCAAACTAAATGCTTTGATAAAGCGACAAATGTATTCATGATCCAACGGAGCCAGGGATATTGGCTGGACTCGAACCTTGTGCGTATCACCGCATCAATACACGACGTCGTCATGATGACATGCGACATCAAAAACAGTCACCACGAAAGGGCATCTACTAACAAAACAAACTTCACCGCGAAATTATGAAACTAATCATTTTATGGTGTTCATCGATTCGGACGGTGGTAGCGACTCTCCAAGTCATAGGCAAACCTCTTCGCTCTCCTGAGAGACATAGGACAGATCGTTTGATGAGAGGAGGCGCTCTTTAAGTCCCATCACCCAATCTGTTACGTACGTACGTACTCCAAACGCGACCCCTGCATTTAAATGTGTTTCGATGCCTCACAGTGCCCACAAGTACAATCTGCTCATCAACAATGGCCCAGAAAGCATGAAATGAGCGCAAGATTCACACTGAATATCGTTATTTCGATTATGTAGTGATTACGGATTTAATTTACATTTGTTTCTTGCCGCTGTGTTGCGGAGCGCTTGCAAATTGATGAGGCGGGGGGGGCAATCGTACAAAAGCAAGTCGACCGCTCATTGATCTCTTCATGAACGCTTTTGACCACCCCTTCGTAGTACTACCACCTGGGCTTGGAGCAACAGCCGTAAAATTATAAACTCCTGTCTAACTGCACTCGAGTACTTAATCCTGAAGACAGTTTCGGAACTATCTCACTCAATTTTTCGCACTGGTTAGGGAGACAAGTTGCCTCTCCCGTCTTACAGATTTTCAGGCCCCCGCTTCCACAGACCAGACGTCAGACTAGAACGTCGTTTAATGCTTGACTTTGTGTTTAAGTAATCCAGATGTCCGACTGTATAGTCGTTTAATTTTTAAACCCGCGAAATAGAAAGCACTTTGTGGACGTAAAGATGTTCATCACCGCAAGTTTTTCGCTGTTAATAGCTGTTACAGCTTTCGACCGCGTTTCGAACATAAGATAGTGTCAGGCCTCATGCTCTAATGAAAACGTACTACTCAGGGCAATACTGCATTATCTTCTAAGAAATTAAGTCCAAGGGTTTTAATGTCATGACACCAGCGCAATCGTATCTTAGTGGGATATCACAGTTAAAAAGATTTGAAGTGAACGTATCTCATCTTCTTCACCAGCACGCTGAACTACAATTAGATGACGACGGAGAGTGAGCTACTCTCTCTTAGAGCCAAGTTTGCAGCCGATACTGGGATATACCAAACCCGGATGCGCTGTCGAAGCTACGCCATCACATTGGGTACCCCAGCGGTTTTAAACAGTGGTAGCTTATTGACTGAAAACTGTTTGAATGCTGATCAGGCACCAAAACGGCTATTTATATTTGACGAGCTCTATCACTTATTAATCCCACATTACCCACACGATAATCTTGCATTCTCTTAGAGAAATCATGAAGATTAATCAATCTTTTTGCCACGATCATGAATGGTCTGATGTAGCGTGATCGCAAATTATCGAGGTCAAAACTTAGGTCAAAACGTTTCCATTGGGATGCCAAAAAGCTCTCTGATAAGAGCTGTCCAATGGCTCGGACATCTTTCATCAGAATGCTTGTTTGTCCGTGTCTCGCTTATTGATATACATTGCACACTCTACATATAGGCAGGCTATCGAATCCTTACCATAGCATAATTATGTAGGTTTCAGCATCAGCATGTAGTCTTTGTACATTCTGGCTCTCAGCAACAGCGTTGCGCACTCGGTGCATGACGCCCCATCGAAAGACATTTTGTGATTTTGCTACGAAGTTTAGCCGGGATGATATTAGCGAGCTCTTCCGACTGATCCTCCCCCAACACGACTGAGGCCACTTTGTGGTTGTGTCAAAGTACAACATATTCTGATAAGATATAAAATAAAGTCTGATGGATAGATATACACGGCATTGGTTTTTGACGTACTCGCAAAAGGTTAGAACAATTTGCTCCAGCACCGCGGTCTTCCCGCGCAGTTACTCTAATATTGCCCTCCACTACACGATATTGAGAAGATGAAGTGAGCAGTAGAAGGCAAGTTTGGAAGTAAATGTATTTAAGGTCCTTAGTTCGCTATTCCGAGCTACCTCTTAGCCTTTCCTATGACGTCATCGTGGGCGCAATCATGTCGTGTCATCGTGTGCGTAATCATGTCGCGTCATCGTGTGCGCAATCACGTCGTCCTATGGTCCGGAGATCCGATCGCGCAACGTGTGCTGATAGCTGTTCTTCTAACAGCTGATAGCTGTTCTTCTAACAATCCTCCTCGCGATCGTGTCCCCGCCGCCCTAACTAGCGCAACCCCACGAGCGCTCACAGCTCTGCAAGCTTGTGCTGGTTTAACGTCTTTGTCAGTAAGTCCGCGAGCATAAGCTCTGACCGGACGTAGCGCATCTCAACGACG